TTTTTTTTTTTTTTTTTTTTTTTTTTTTTTTGCACTTAGCAGTGTAACAGGCATGTCTTTCCATGTCCGTAATTCAGAGCTTGTGCTCTCTCTCTCGCTCTCTCTCCCGCTTTCCCACCTCGTGTCTTTCCTTATGTAGCTGCCTGGCATCTATTACATGATTTATTCATTCATCCAGTCCTCTTTTGATGAACATCTGTTTGTTTTTTGCCATTATGAACAAGACAGGAACCAGCACCCTCACGCATACATACCTCTGTGCGTTATTCTAGTACTTATGGAAGTTGAACTGTTGGTTCAGAGAGCCATGTGCATTTTAAGTTTTGATAGATTTTCTCAAATTGTTTTCCCGAAAAGTTTATATGAATTTATATTCTCACCAGAAACATGTGAGAGGGACCCTACGTCCTCACCTACACTGGGCTTATCAGTCAGTCCTTAATCCTCATTTTCCTCTTGTTTTAATTAGCACGTCTTTACTGATGAGGAATTCGGACTTCGATAACCATGAAATAAGGGTGAGATAGGAAGCAGGCTACTTGGTTGTATAATTTTCTGCATTTGCTGGAGGCAGATTGGGAAGAATATATTTGTAAACGTAGTTGTTGCTGTCAGCGTATCCCTGGGATTTTATAATCCATATTCCTGCCAGTATCTAAAGTCTTCCCAAATTCTTAATGTCTGCAGCAGGGCACAGTGGCATTCGTCACTTTAACTTTTCATAGCAAAAGATGGTTAGCAGGATTGGAATGCTGCTTTAATTTCCAGGCTTTTCCTTGAGAATTTCTCATCCCCTGCTTGTTAGCAAGCCCTCATGGGTAGTCTGACTTGGGTCTCATATGTCCAGGTTGGCAGTGGAATCCCTCTGACCGGCCCTCCTTCGCTGAAATCCACCAAGCCTTTGAAACAATGTTCCAGGAATCCAGCATATCAGATGGTAAAGTGCTGGTCCTTAGGGTGCCTGCAGTGGGGAGAGAGGTTGGGATGGGAGGGGCGGCCATGTGGGACCCAGCCCAGTCCTTCAGTCCACTTCCTGCTAGAGTGCATGGGCCAGCAGCTTACCTGAGACCAGAAAGCTGGGTGGGGGGTGGCCCTCTGTCTCTTGCAGCCAGGGTTCTGAAAACTACTCAAGTACTATTTCCTCAGGATGTGTATCTCTTTTCTGTAACTGTGTATAGATGACTACTCTTGTCTTAAAAAGAAAAAGAAAACCAACATACCAAAATGACGTCGTTACTGATGACTGCTGGTTTTGTTGTTGATTTTTTTGGTGGTTCTTAGAAGTGGAAAAGGAATTGGGGAAGAAAGGCATGCGAGGGGTTGCAGGTACTTTGCTGCAGGCCCCAGAGCTGCCCACCAAGACGAGAACCTCCAGGAGAGCTGCCGAACACAAAGACGCCCCCGACGTGCCCGAGACGCCCCACTCCAAGGGCCCAGGAGAGACTGGTACGTCCTCACCACCCGCACCCGCCTGAGGCCTGGGGGAGTCGACCCTCAGAGCCAGTGCAGGCAGATGGGAAGCAGTGAGTGGAAACTGCACAGAAAGGCAGGCAAACCCCGTGTTAGTGGTCCAGCTTCGAAAAGAGGAAGGTTCTCCTTTTCCTACAGCAACCCCCTGCCCCATCATTTAGGAGCCATTGGCTTAGGCAGTGGTGCTTGTGAAACCTACTAAGAACAAACCCACCTTTTCATGTATCATTCACAGCATTTGTGGTTGCTCTTGCGGCAGATACAGCAGTAATAAAATATTGAACCAAACGAAGAGCAGCTCGTTGTGAAAAGCGCTGATGTGAAAAACTCACTGGCACTGACGGAGCCAGGAGACACCTGCGGAGAGCTGGAGAGCTGTTGTCCCCTCGTGGTCTCTGA